CTGAGTATCACGTCTCGCGTCTTGAAATGCATGAAGGCGTTTTATCCAAGACGTAAAAGTTTGTAGTTTCCCGTTGTAAGGGACCGGTCATAAAGTAACTGCTAGGGTGGGCTGGAGTGATTTGGGATGGGCCATGGAAAATCTTTCGGCAGTTTCGATGGGCCACCATTTTTTTGGTATGTCAACGGTTGGGCCACCAAACAAAAACCCATGTTAATTATATATTATATAAAGATATTAATTAATAATAAAAGTAAACAAAACTATCCAAATTATCAAATGCAAATGATGCTATTGAAGCCAGCACTTTGTTTTATACAACAACAAGAAGTGGTCGAATCACAGCAAATACAACCAACTGAAGAGCAGTTCAGTATCGTAATTGGTGATGAATGTGTTGGTCAAGCATGGTGTAATTATGTATGTCAATACAGTGCCAGTGTATATTTATACAATGTTCATACCTGCAAATTTTTTTAATTATAAAATTGTATTTTCCCAATTTAGATTGGGTGGGTGGGTCATGAAATAAATTTGGTAAGATTAGATGGGCTTTGAAATTTTTATCTACATCCTAAGATGGGTCACCAAACTTATTGGCAAAATTTGTGATTTACCTCCAGCCCACCCTAGCAGTTACTTTATGACCAGTCCCTAATGTGATAAAACTGAAGGTTTTTAAAATAACCTTCGGGGAAAACGATCCGCGTCTGCTGTGCGACAAATTTTATGTAACTCCTCCAATTTCGCAACAAGCGTTCACGTACTGTAGGTCGACAAATTATTCAAACTTTTTGTTTTGCATGAATAATTTCTTTGTCTCGAAAGCGGCGTCTTTCAGTTCGCGTCCGGTTTTCTATAAATCTGTCTAGTAGAGACCTCGCGATGTAGGAGGGCAACGCAATTAACGACAACGGCCAGAATAAAATCATTCAAATAAACGATTGTAAAGAAAATTTGTAGACTATTATTGATCATATCGATTTAATACTATTTGGTTAGCTTAAAATAGTGGCTTTATTGTTGAGAAAGTTCCACTGTAGTACCGAGTTAATTTGCTGAGTATCACGTCTCGCGTCTTGAAATACATGAAGGCGTTTTATCCAAGACGTAAAAGTTTGTAGTTTCCCGTTGTATAAAACATGGCCGGATTTTGAGGGGAGGTGTGAGGAGGTGCGCGCCTCCTCTGAGATCGTTTGCACCTCCCCTGAGAATTTTTGCACCTCCCCTGAAAAGCCATGCACATCCCCTTGGGAAAATATCAAAGAGAGATCAAAGTGAAAATTTGACATTTTTTGGTTGCTTAGGGTGTACACTCCGTAAGAAAGTAAGTTTTCTGTAAAGTTGAAACAATGATAGTCATTCATTCATCTCTGTGTCAAGTATCCTTTTAATGCAATATTTTGAAAGAAATTTTGTAGTAATTGTGATGAGTTGTGCAGTCATAATTAATTAATACACTGTACATTACATGCATACGTCACGTCGTTGACTTTGGCCCCGTTCTAAGCCCTAACTTTCCATGGGGGTCGTGAGCTAGATTGTTGCACCTCCCCTAAATGTTTTTCCACCTCCCCCACTATTTCCACCAAAATCCGGCCTTGGTTGTAAACAGACCGTGGATGACGTCTCGAACTCCCGCGGAATATTAATTATTCATTTTTATCCACAAATATTATAATATCTCAATGTATGAATAGCCGTCGTCGTCACGTTGCCGTCCCACATCGTAAGGTCTCTAATATATAGTCTTGACGAACGGCCTTCGTATATAGTACGGCCTTTTCCATTCGATACGTCTTTCTAATTTTTATGTTAAACATATAGAGGGCAAAATTACTCAAATATGATTGGCTAATGAGGAAGGCATTTTTTCTTAATTCGGAGCAAAATTACTTGTGCCTGATTGGCTGAGACGCAAGCGCAGGAAGTTTCTTGTTTTAATTTAAATAGCAATATTAAAAACAATGGCTCTCGCTTTGTCTTCGCGAATAATGATGTTATTGAAGACTACTGAAAACTTGAACACTAGAAAAATTACAAATTTATTGGTTGGAGTATTTAAGAAATGGGCAGGCAGGGCAGCATTAAGAAACATCGGCGAAGACATGGAGACATACGAGGTTCAAGAACTTGACAAGTTCACAATTAACTTGCGAATAAATTTTGCCCTTTATGATTAACAAGTAATCGCATACCGTATTTACTCGTTTGAGCGCCGCCCCCGATTGAGCGCCGCCCCCGATTGAGCGCCGCCCCCGATTGAGCGCCACCCCCGAATGAGCGTCGCATTTGAGATCAAATTTTTTTAAGGTTACAGAACACCCTTTTTGGAGTTTTGCGGAAAATCGCTACTGCGCGCTCAATATCAGTCCGATTTTCATCAAATTTTCGCCAAATGTTCTCCAGTGCATGCAAAATATGGTAAAGTTGTAAAATTGACAAACAATGAAATAATATAAGAATTATTCAGGAAAATCTTAAATTGCGGTATCTTTACGCTTTTGAGTTATGTTCCTGCTGGTTTTAAGATATATTTATGAAAATATAATTTTTATACAGTAAAATAGTTGTTCTAAAAAATAGTGTTCGGAAATTTTTGTTTATTTCGTCATTTCGCTGATATGGCAATTTCTTTGATGACTACAATATATTTCTGAATCGTTTGAGTGAATTGCTCGTTATTATTAAAATATCCTAAATTAGAAAAAAGACGAACACAATTTTGAAACTGACGTCTGTAGCTATGGCCTGTGAAAATTTGAGAAAAATCAGAGGTGTTCTGTAACCTTAAAGAACGCCGCTCCCGAAAGAGCGCCGCATTAATTATTTTCCTGCGATTACCCTTTTCAAAGCAACGAATTTACGTCTTCTGATGTCGAGGAGGCATATCCAACAATGGTTACGATGCAGCAGCTGGACTCGGATCATGAAGATGACAGTGACACTGATATTTTGTAAACTTGTAAACAGTGTAAAAACTTTCCGCCGTCAAAATGGGGACATTTAGTGACAAAAATATTTAAAACTTGTTTATATTATTGTTAAAAGTTCTTGTCATAATTCACAAATAAAAATTTTTTTTAAAGAGCGCCGCCCCCGATTGAGCGTCGCCCCCGATTGAGCGCCGCCCCCAAAGTTTAAAGAGCGCCGCGGCGCTGGAACGAGTAAATACGGTAGTTCCTCGCAAAATAAAGGTTTAATTTCACTTGTGTTTTCAAATTTTCACAATTTGTGAAACTTTGAAAACACGCGTGAAATTAAACCTTAATTTCACTCGGCCCCATGCGATTACCTATACTAATGTCCAGCAATTTTAAAAAATAAATATACAATCTATCATCGTACCCGATGTAAGCGTTCATACTGTGCATTTGCTCTGGTAATGATATCCCACTGTCCATTTCTTTAATTCCTCCAAGTGTATTCTCATCAATCTTGTGACGGAAAAGAAAGAGTAAAATGCAAAAGAATAAAGAAGCGCAGTGGAAGTTTGGGCACAATGTTTTGCAAAATCTAAAAACGTGAAACAAATTCATTTATTTACTTTGCCTAAGAGATTATCACCAGTGAGGACAGCAATTTTTAAATCTTCCACACCGCTCTTTTTAGCAACGTCGCGAATTGCCTTTGCGCATGCGTGAGGATTGATACCACCAGCGTTACTGACCACTCGAATACCTATAGAAGGAAAATATAAAGAGACTCAGGCATAAATCCAATCCTCAACATGTGCGATAATTCGCGTATATTTACGTACGGGAGGCACGCCAATATTACGGTTTGGTGCTTCTTTGTTTTCAGCCAAACACCACGTGGTCGTGTCGCTATCTGCGTACTTGCATTGGGCCGAAAGTGGTGCATTTTCCTGTGCCTATATAGCTGGAATTACAAAATAATATGACAAAATTTGCAAATTTCACAGGGCTATCCTTTTCCGGCTGATAATTTCAGCAAAAATAAAACAAAAGTTATTCCGAATAAGGAGTGCATAATATTAACACACAATTTATTAAAACTGTATATATTTCGAATCTAAACCAGATTCATCTTCAGCAGTGTTTTGCAAGATATGTCGTTATATTAACGACATATCTTGCAAAACAATGCTGAAGATGAATCTGATTTAGATTCGAAATATACAGTTTTAATAAATTGTGTGTATTATGCACTCCTTTTATTCGGAGTAACTTTTGTTTTATTTTCACAGGGCTATATCTTCCTCATTTTACAACATTTCGCAACCTCGTTCGCAACCAAACTTTGCAATTTTACTAATTTTAACATGCTCTTTCTAGCTGTGGTGATGGATTTCGTTTTTCTTTCCTAGATCAAATTTCAGTATATATAACTGGAATCATCCAGGGCTCGAAATAACGTTCCCAATGTTCCCGATCATGGTGATCGGCAATCACGACTTTTTGCCGATCAATTAAAAATCTGGCCGATCAGGAGCATATTTGCCTAAGTTTCCTTGAAAAGAAAAATTCTAAATATGCCAGTGAATACACATCTGAACAGGAAGTTTAACATTACTTTATTTCAAATTCAAGTTTAAATCTACGACATTTGTTGACTATATATATATATATATATATATATATATATATATATATATATATATATATATATATATATATATATATATATATATATATATATATATATATAATTACTATTCTTACTTAAAATGTTTTTTTGTCTCTACTCCGAGTTTCACGCATCACTGCGATCATCAGGAGACATTGTTCTACTAACAAAAAAAACACAGCAGCATTATCAATTAAGAACTATAAAACTCATTATTTAATATTATTAAAGAAGAAATCCTACTAAAAACAAAAATTCCTACTCAAAAAATCCTATCAATTTGAAATTAATGTAACAAAAACGTTCGTCGTCAACGGTTCGGATTGCAGACTGTTGAAGAGACGACAATACTTCATGCAAATTTAATAAATTACTTTAGAGCGAGAATAGTTGCGGTTTTTCCTGTCGTAAGACTCGCGCATCGGCTAAACAAGAGCTTTTCGCGTATTTTTGAATGTGTTTTATGTTACTTTTATTTGTCTTTACCGCGTACAGGTAAGCATGTCTTTCAGACAATGTCAATGCTCAACTATATTTCTTGCCGATCAAGATGAACGGCAACGTTGCTTCTTCGCCGATCAAAATTAATTTCCTGCCGATCATTGATCGTTGATCGGCCGTTATTTCGAGCCCTGAATTCATCCATTGTATACACGCAATTCTTTCAGGTTATTGATTAATGTGTATACCTTAATTCTAGAAGACTAACTGTTGAAGGTTATTTCAACTTCAACTTTAACTTTAATGATTATTTTAACAAAAAATTAAATTACAGCTTGCCCTGCAAATAACTATAAAGCTAATCGAGGCAGGGCAAGATAGATCGAAAATAATTTTACAAATTTTAGGATCAGATATATACCAGAGACAGACAGAGCTTAAATCGAATTTCTGCCAGCTATTTTAACTTAATTCTATTGGTATTTATATGTTGGTAATTTGCAATATTAAATGTGTTATACTAAAGCAAAATAAGATATAAGCGTGATATGATCTTGAACTGTCTTTGCCAGTGTATAGGTGGTTTCAATAAAATCAACAAGCTTTCGTTGGTATACCAACGAAAGCTTGTTGATTTTATTGAAACCACCTATATATAGGGATGCAACTAAATTCAAAAATTCTCCTTTTATATTTTTCTCCCTATACCAACGAAAGCTTGTTTATTTCGCGTGAATATTATATATATAGCTACATTTTTACACATAATATTACGCCTTCAACCGTAGTTCTATCGAGTGAGTTAGTTCTATCCCGACTTTTAGAAAACTGTCGTTTATACTTTATTTATACACTGGGAATTACTTTCAAAATTCTTACTTTAGAAATAGAAAGGAAATCCAATTTCCATACCGATTGCAATTTCCACACTATGGATGTAGTATGGATATTCTATGGATTTGGAAATGCAATCGCAAATTTCATTGTATGAATTTCACTATTTTCTTCCAGTGTTATCAAAAGACTAAGTACACCTTCAGTCTTAAGTTTGTACCAGCTCAAATACGCGGCAATAGCCATTGGAGTACCGGTCAGGTACGGCTGAAAATCTTAATACTAAGGAGTGATGTCAATGTACGGAGTGTATGGATAAATATCAGGATTTTGTCCATCTTACTGTATACATGAACTTGTGGTTGGAGTTCGACAAACATCTCTCTGTAGCTCGGTTGGTTAGAGTGCTGCACCGGAATCGCAGGGTCGCTGGTTCAATAGCCAGCGTAGCAGGCGCTATTTATGGGGGAGGGATGGTGCCATCCCCCCAGCTTCTCCCACCCTCGCCCTCCCCCCGCCCCTAAATAGCGCCTGTCTGCGGGCAGGCAAGCATATTTTAAAGATTTACAAGTGTGGGGCCATAACTTAGAAAAGGGCTCATTGGGCGAGCGCCGAGGGCACGAGTTTCGTATGGGGGTCCGGGGGCATCCTCCTGCGGAAAATTTTGAAATCTGGAGACTCCAAAATAGCTATTTAGTGCGTTTGGGGGGGG